GTGGAGGCCGGTGTAGGTCTTCTCCTTCCGGGTGCAGACGGGGAACGAGACGGGCCGTGAGAGGATGACACTCATGAGGAGGCATGAAAGGGAGTAACGAGGACGAGAGATTGAGAGAAGGGACGGGCGACGAGGAGGAAGATGATGGTAAGAAATCCACGGACGGTTAGTGTGAAGGACGAAAGATCACGATGCCGAAAGTGAAGCTGCTGTTGATGATGGAGTAGATGTGTATGAATGTGAGTCCAGCATCATCATGATGCTGGGTGCTGGTGCTGGCACATGGTGGTGATGGCGACGGTGTTGGTGTCCACACCCCTCCAAACACCAAGGGACTCAGATCCGACCTTGCGACTCTCCTCAGCCTTTAACCCTGCAATCAAGGTGTGTTGTTCAACCCTTACAGCCAGCTCGTAGTATTTGCAAGGTTCGATCCACTCCAGGCGCCCTCCTCGCAAGAAGCCCTGCGAAAACCCCTGCAGAACTTGCACAGCCGGAGTTCACCAACCCTGAACCAGCGCGGCCTTTCTGCCGTTGAAGACCACCGCCTTTGCGAGTTTGCCCCGCGCAATCTTGCTGACTGCCTTTTTCTTCATTGCCTCAGGGTTTCAGCATGTGGCTTTGGGCAGGCTCCTCGTGGGTATGCGAACGAAACAGGACGCGAGGTCCTGACCAGGATCTTCAATATGCGGACCCCCAAATCCAAAACCCCTCCCCAATCCACCCCATGAGCTTTTAGGACATGACCTGCAGCCATCCTTGGGGTCCTCACCATGGAGCAAAGGGGGTAAGCGAATACAGAATACGAAACTTTCGTAATGGACCCTTGCGGAGGAGTGACATGGAGCGACAGAGGCTCTCTTGCTGGAGGACTGGGTTGCCTGGTGTTTAACCCTCTCTTGCGCCTTCATGGGCTTGGCCTTCATGGCCTTGGCCTTCATAGCGCCGCCTTTCAGTGCCTTCAGCCAGTTCATGTGTGGAAGCCTAGGGTTTAGAAGCTGTTATGGAATTCTGCAAGCTTCCAACTTGAGGGCTACTGTGATCTGCTCTGATCTCTCAATACGCGCTTCGGCCTTTTTCATGGTCTTCATCGGCAAAGCCATGGCTCAGAAACAAGGAGGGCACGAGGGGCGTCTGGGCGTGTCGCTGGCTAGGACCAAACCGCCAACGTTTGAAGTTCCCAAGAAAAAAGGAAGCCGAAGTTGAAACGCACACCACAGCAAGCGTCCGAAGCACATGTCAGTCAGCATAGACAGCGGAAAGAAGGTGCAAGAGCGAAATTTGTTCCGGCAACGAACCTGTTCAGCCGACCGCTCTCAGGAAAGCGCCGCATCTCCCCGCAGATACCCCGCTCTCCGCACTCCAGGACGCAGAAGCATGTGTAAAATCTGTACAGCCACATGCTGGGGGCTGGAAGCGGGACCCACTCCGTGAACTACAGTGAAATCACTGCACAAGAAAAACGATTGGATAAGAACGTAGGGGCTGCATCAGCCGGATAGCACCAAAAAGCCGAAATCTTAAACTGCCTTCTAGCTGAGAAATGAAGGGTACCCAACGTTTTGGGATCATTTCTTATTTCAATGTTTTTCAGGTCCTGACCCTAGAACATGGAGCACAAGCCAAAATAAGAAATGTAGGGTGCTACGTTTCTTATTTTGGCTGGTTACCAAGCCCTATAAGCCTAGGGATTCTAGGGCACACAGCAGCTGTCAAAATAAGAAATGTAGGGTGCTGTCACAGTGCAGCCGCATGCAGGAGAATATCCAAAGGACCTTTTCCCCCACACGCCGAGAATCCGAGTGGTGGCAGATCAGGTCAAAATTCCGAGAGACCCGGGGCAGGCATTGCTCAGACAGGTCCGGAGACCGGTCGGAAATACGCCACCCCACGCCGAGGGAAACCGACCCCCGCACGCGGGGTCAGGGCAGATGTATGGCAGCGGAGAGGTGTGAAGCCTTGACACCGTGGCCGTACCAAAAGCCTCGGCCCTGGGCGCTTTAGGATATCCTCCTGTCGGAGGGTAGCCATACGACTGCGCACCCAATATTGATGATTGCATCCTCCAGGCCCACATGCTGTCGAGGTCCAGGCGTCGACCAGCTTCACCACCAGCAAATTTGGCAGCGATCTAAGGATTTGGGCCACTTCGCTCTGGAACACACGGTCCGGGAAGACCTCAGGAGCAACCAAACGGGAAAGGCTTTTTTCAGCATCTATGCACTGGACCTCCGCTGTCGTTGCGCATGAGCTCTTCCTTCTTCAGGCTGGGCAAAGACATGACCACCGAACCCACGTTCTTGAAGGGCAACGTCGCCTTCATGTGAATCAGGCCACTCAGAAACAGGCTCGGGTCATTGAAGAACTCCTTGGAAGTCGCGTCCACATGGGCAAGGTGCTGAATGCGCTCCTCCCTGCGCAGGCAGTTCCACCTCTTAAACACTGTATGGGAAATGTCCTGCCCTTTAATCTTACCAACCTCCGCCGGAACGACCGAGTAGAATCTGCACACAACATCCCACCAGGGGTGGGGCCGACTGAACAGGTCGATCACCGCCAAGTAGGGAAACTCATTCTGGAGGAGGATAACATTGTCTTCCACCAGGGGAAGGACCACATTGGGGTCCTTGGCCTCGTCCAGCTGCTCCTGGATCCAGGCGACGCTCAACGTCCTCATGTTCTACCCAGGTGTAGTCCCCGTACTCGCCGTGGGCGAAGAGGCTCTATCCTTAACCAACCAGGAAGAGGGCTCCGAATCCACCGCCATCCCTTCCAGCAATTCCCCGGTATCCGCAGCAGATGGAGAAGACGACGGAGGAGGATCGGCGCCTGAGGCAACCGTCCCCAGAAGCAGCCCCAGGAAGTTCAGGAAGAACGGCGCCTGAAGCAACCGCATCCTTTCCTTCTGCTACCACGGAAGAAGCCGTAGATATACAAGGCGGGATCTCCTCATAGTTCCCCATCGGTGTGTCCTCTTGCCCTCCTTCCGGATTTGAAAATTCGTCAATTTCGAACAAGTTCTGCTGCACCCTCTGTTGGGCCATAGTCTGCCGAATCTGAAGAGGGACGTCCGAGTGCGCCGCGGCACGCGATGGGTCAGCCATGACCAGCCAGTAACAATCAACGGGTCAACAAAAGAAACAAACAACACCAGAAAAGATCCGCGGGAGATACCTAGGTATGTCCCCGTCGCGTCTGGATCCAAAATGGCATACGGCCCGAGAGCTCGTGAACCATGCGGAGTGAGCAGCCGACTTGGCCCTATGACATGCGAGTTAAACCGCACAAGCACGTTCACTCTACATACGTTTCTTATTTTGGCTGGTTTCCAAGCCCTAAGCCTAAGGCACACGGCAGCAGTCAAAATAAAAAATGTAGGGGGCTACGTTTCTTATTTTGGCTGGTTTCCAAGTCCTATAAGCCTATAGGGCACACGGCAGGAGCCAAAATAAGAAATGTTGGGGGCTACGTTTCGTATTTTGGCTGGTTTCCATAGGGCACACGGCAAGAGCCAAAATAAGAAATGTAGGGTGCTACGTTTCTTATTTTGGCTGGTTCCAAGCCCTAAGCCTAGGGCACACGGCAGGGGTATGCAGGAGCCAAAATAACAAATGTAGGGTGCTACGTTTCTTATTTTGGCTGGTGTCCAAGCCGTAAGTGTAGGGCACGCGGCAGGAGCCAAAATAAGAAATGTAGGGGGCAAATTCTTCTTGATGGACTTCCATGGGCTCGATCCCCGTCTAACAAATGGTAAGAAATGAAGGGTACCCAACGATTCGGGAGAACTGACGGGCACCCAATGCTGGAAGCTGGCATTTCTTATCCAGCAGATGCACTGTGCCACGAAAGCAGACCGGCCGGCAAGCTTACAGAATCTGCCGGTCCTCAGAGACGCCAAAAGCCAAAAGTTCGAGATGCTCCTGCAAGTCCGGTCCCCAAAACAACACTCAAATGCTGCCATCGATCGCCAGCGCTGCCCTCATCGCTCCTCCAACTGCGTGGGCTGCGCTGAACTTGGATGAACTTGGAACCGAGAGGGCAGCGAGCGAAGTTTGTTGCCACGACAGGTCTCGTAACGTTGCCGATCTGTTTCAAGCAGTAAGTCAAGTCTCACCGCCGGCCAGGATGGTTTGCTATGGGGGTCCCCGTGAGCAGAATCCGCCGTGACCTTGCAACCGCCACCTAGCGATGTCTCGTGCAGTATGGCTTTCTGGTGCAATGTATTGCAATGTCATT